GTTATTCCTGTGTTTTGGTGAGATGTTTCCTGTCAATCTTTACTCTGTCTGATTCTTTGATTTTGACCAGTTTCTGTCCTGTGGATCTCGAGTTTTGTCTTGCCCCTGTCTGCTCTGTTTGTCGCATCTGGTCCTGGATTCTACCGGCTTCTGAACCTGGAACTGTCTCCTGACTTCGGCCTTGTATTTCCCTTCTGGACTCTGTTTTTGCTCGGCGTCAGCTGGCATCCGCTCCGCTCACTCTCTCTGAACTGTGACTTTGCTCCAAGTCGTATTCAGCTCCTCATCCAGTCACTGAGCTGTATTCTCCAATCCCTGCAGAGATCCGCCCCACAGCAGACGAGCAGCCCCGCCCACCTGTTTGTTAAATAAATGCTTTAAACTTTCCCACTGTGGGTGGCCTGTGCGGGACATGTTGTTCCCATCCCCTGGGGGCTTTTACTGGGGATAGTCTGGTCCGGGTGCGGAGTTGGGTGCCGGATCCGAAGCAGGAACTAAATGGGCTAGTGTGATTTCAGGAATAGAAAGTACAGATACTGTGTGAAAATATAATGAGTAGAAGTCAGAAGTAGGAAGAAAAATAAGTAATACAGTAAAGTACAGATACCTAAAAAGTGTACTTAAGTAGAGTAATGAAGTATTTGTACTTCGTTACTTGACACCTCTGTCGATAAGGACAAAGGACATTCTTTTTGAGGAACATAAAAAGATAAAAAAAAAAGAGGACGCACATTCACACATAACACTCACTTTCAATAATCTCAGGACAGAGGCCCTGGTGGCCGGTCCCCGGATTGCCGGATGACCCAATAGGTGAACACAGTATGTGGAGTACGCAGAGTTTAAAAACATGGGAACCAAAAAATTGGGATTGAGATTAAGCTATACAGCATGAACGTAGGCATATACTGGCAATGCTGAGATGAACTGTCACACAAATATATTTAAAAGGGAAGTCTGCATGTTTCTCACCGTTACCTTACTCTGATTGATGACCAACAGGGTAAATCATTCCACAAATCAATACATAAATGTTCAAGGCCGTTATTAGGTTGGATGTGCTTCGGTGTTGCAGTGGTTAAAGCGCATGACCCATCTACGGAGGTCTTAGTTCTGTACATGGTTTGAATCAAACCAGTGGTCCTTTGCTGCATGTTTGTACAAAAAAAAAGAGCTGCTAGTGCCGTAAAAGCTTAAAAACAATTGTTGGGTGAGTTCCTAGAGAGCAACGGAGCGGACGCCAGCCGACGCCGAGCAGCAAGTCCAGAAGGGAAATCCAAGGCCAAAGTCAGAAGACAGTTCCAGCTTCAGAAGCCGGTAGAATCCAGGACCAGATGCGACAAACAGAGCGGACAGGGGCAAGACAAAACTCGAGATCCACAGGGCAGAAACTGGTCATAATCAGAGAAACAGACAGACTAAAGAATGCTAGAAAACTGTGCTGATATGTAGAATGTATTCAATAGTAGTTCCAGATATGCCCACTAGGTGGTTCTATTGAGTTATGAATACAAGGTCAACTACTAGAGTAAGGCAGTAGAAGAAGAGATGAAAACAAAGCTAGACGGTTGTTAATGCTGGTTAAGAAGTTAATAAAAGTTGAGCACATGCTCACTGTGGATCATACTTTGTTTAATGACTGAGTTCATAAACAACACAAAAACGTCTCACCAAAACACACGAATAACCTGGCGCTGATGGGAGGCAAACGCACAACTTAAATAGTAGAGGAACCAGGTGAAAATGATCTGCGATAATCAGCCGCAGAACCAATTAGACAAGGGAGCAAGGAGCAAAGGAAAAAAACAAACCATTAGCACCAACATCATGACACTTAGAGTAGAAAAAGGGGGAAGGTAGCCAACGTAGCCCGGTTAACCAATGTAAATACCTTTATTCTGCCACAATGGGGAAATTCACTCTCTGCATTTCACCCATCCCCTGCACAATGGCAGTGGGCTGCCATTGTGCGGCGCCCGGGGAGCAGGGTGGTGTTTAAGGGCTTTGCACAGGGACCGAGAGGCTGTGGGGAACGAACCGGGTACTTGCAACCTTCTCAGAGCACAAGCCCACTGGTCTAACCCACAATTGAATATAAATAACATCTGATGATTAATACATACTACTTTCACAAGATGTCCCAAGAGCCATTTTAAGTGGTGGTGGATCGGGTCCCTGAGGCTTCTACCCGATCCTCTTTACAATGGTCCGTCATGAGTCTCCCTGCAGGTGGTGGGCCACTCTGGGATAACCACCAGGCGCTTGCTGACAGCAACCCCAGGACTAGCTACATGGTGGGGTAACCATTCTTATGTCAATCTTGATTTATTAAAGATCCAGATTAAACATGTATTTAATCATTTAAATATAGTTAGTGTCCTGAGAAGATCTGGGCGCAAGAAAAAAAACAACTTATAGGCTGGACTTGTAAGAGCCTGAAATGAATACAAAGTAGATGAATACATATCTTAAAAAGTATTTATATTATCTCTGATAGCTTTGACATAAATGGCTGCCACAGCATTGAGAGTTTTCTACCTTAGAGTATTGATTTTGCAGTTTGGACTCTCTAGTCCTGCAGATAGAAGTTTCACTCCATAATCCTTCAGGTTGGTGTTACTCAGGTCCACTTTTCTGAGACTGGAGGACTGGGAGCTGAAAACTGAAGACAGAGCTTCACAGCCTCTATCTGAGAGGGGACAGCCAGTAAGTCTGGGGACACAGAGTCAAATTTTTGAATAAAAAATAAGCATCCATCCATCATCCATCCATCCATCATCCTTCCATCCATCCATCCATCCATC